AATCCTTTCAAGAACTGAACACAGGTAAGCTTATGTCCATGTGGTAAGATGCATGTTCAGGCTCACTGGGTGTGAGGAGCTCTTCGTATGTGGGGAGCCTGCAACCAGACAGAAGGCGCTGCTCTCTCTTCAATAGGCCCATGACTTGGTGCTATTTTAATCCTTTGTCAGCTCTGAAGTGAACTGAAGCAGATGGACACTGCCCTGTTAGTGGGTCACTTCAGATTGAATTACCCAAACAACACCTCGATGCCTTTTCTCCAGAGGCCTTTAAAACTGAAGTGGTTTTCAGGGGGAGGAAGCAACCAACCACCAACTTCCTGCACTTCAGGCTCCTGTTAGTGTGCTGACAATCACTACCTCTCTTCGACTCCCGAAAAAGCCTGTGTAGCATTAGGGAGGAAATTCTAGGTGGAGGTCAGTTCGTGATGTTTACAGTGTGCCTAGATTAGGAGGGCTCGAGAGAGGGCTCATTGGTTTAGCACTTGTTGCTCTTATAAAAGACCTGGGGTGGCGGTCTATAGTCATCCTAATGCCAGTTCAAGGGAATCCAATGTCCTCTTCGGACCTCCACCGGCATCAGGCATATACATGTATACAGACATACATAGAGACAAGACATCCATACACATAAAATAATAAAATGAATCTTAAAAAAACAAAACAGTGTGCCTAGGTTAAAAGAATTTCATGTTGTCTTTTCTATGAAATTAAACTACAGAAAAAAGTTCATTAGACAAAGGCATGTTTTTTTTTTTTTCACGAAATACTCACTATCATAGTAAGAGAAGGTATTATGAAAACTAATTCTAGTAATATTGGCTCTCATAACAATACCAAGCCAGGGGGTCACCAGGCGGCTCTCTCTCCCACACCTCACTCTCTGGACATACACACAGAATCCTGGAGGGAGAAAACCTGGGATTTTAAAACAGCACTTCTATTCATTCGACAATTATAAATGACTCCAACGACCTTAGTCTCCACCCAAGTACTATCTTCTCCCAGTCCTCTATGCCATGGTTTTACATGAGATTCTGATAGCGTTCCAGAGAAAATGAAGACATGGTTTTATAATTTAAAGAGAGCTGGCAGAAGCACCATAGTGAATTCATATGGACACTGGCTTCAGTGTACACACTGCAGTAACAGTGACAATTGTCTAGTCTACAGAGATGAGGTTGACATAAACAACCCAGTTCAGGAGAGACAAGGAGAGACTCCCTGCTCACTCTCACTTTCGCATGCTCTCTCTCCCCCTCTCCCCCTCTCCCTCTCCCTTTGTGTGTGTGTGTGTGTGTATGTGTGTGTGTGTGTGTGTGTGTGTACAAGAAAAACTGAGGTGAAAAGAAGAAATCAGAGGAGATAGAGGTAATTTAGATGCAAGGGAAAAACCAAAGCACTCGAGTATAGCCACGTGCTGGGGCTTTGAATAAGAGAAGTGGTAAGTGAATACTGCATTCTGCGTTCACAGGAGGCAAAGCCAGGGCAGCAGTGATGGCACAATGGGCGCCAGTAAGGTAAGGAAGTGTGAGAGCTTCCTCCATGCTCATATTAGATCAGTGTCTGTAAAGCAGTCCGGAACACAGTGATGCAAAAACGCAAAAACTATTTGCTTCATTTTGTTCTCACTCCAGGTCACAAATTCTCAAGAAAGCTCCTTACACTTCCAGCCTCTGTTTTCTCTCTGTTATTTATAGACAAGTATTCTTCTAGAGAATGGATACACCACACACACACACACACACACACACACACACACACACACACACACAC